GACGGCAGCAAGGGCAGCTTTTTTCCACTCCCAAAAGGAGCGGCATTTGGGGCTTGGGGCTGCAGCATGCGGTTGCCTTGGCCACAATCCAGTGAGCAAAGGGCCGATGGCAAGCCACTGTCTGTTTCGCCCCTTGGTCTCTAAAAGAGTTGCCATCACTGCACTACAGATATAGCGGTCATACCCTACTACACTGGAGTAGGTATTAGCCACAGGAGGAGAAATGCCATAGGAGTCATGGCCGTGAAAGTATAGGCATACCTTATTTAACAAAACCTCTGACAACAGCTCCTTTTAATAAAGTTTTTATGTCTGCCCAGACTCCTTTTGTCCCATCATCTCTGTCTAAGCAGAATCCAGAGAAACCGAGTTTCAGTCTTAGGGTGCAGCCGGTGGCATCGCCAGGATTGGTATCTCCCGGTGCAGTAACTCATTGTGCCCCCTCCTTCCATTGACCTCCCACACCATGCCATACAGAATCCTTAATAATGTTTTTTGTACTAATATTATTCATAAATCATAATTCCCGTATATCACTGAATGTAATGTTTTTTTTATTTATGGCAACATAAACAAGCAAAATTAAAATTATATCTTTAAATTATATCTTTAAATTACAATATCATATGCACAGCCTAAATGTATGATATGCACAGCCTGAATGTACATGTGCATAGTTTTGTGTGGTTAAAGTGAAAATTTGGTCAGATGATGTTGGTAAAATCTGATAAGATCATCGAACCCAGATTGCCAGAGCCCAAATCCTATGCTCAAGCCACTACACCGTGGCCATTAATACTATTCAGTACAGGGATGGGAATTATGCAAGAGCCAATGTGGTGTAGTGGTTTGAGCATTGAACTATGATTCTGGAGAACAGGGTTCAAATCCCTGCTTCGCCATGGAGACCCACTAGGTGATCTTGAGTGAGTCACACTTTCGCCTGAGAAAACCCCATTATAGGGTTGCCTTAGGGTCACCATAAGTCAGAAATGCCTTGAAAGCACACAGAAACAAATACTTTACTAAGTAATTGATCGAGAATACTGGGCATGCTTTCCAAGTTAAGAACATTCTACTGTTAGTTCAAAGCAACAAATGACTGTGGTTTGCGTAAATGTGTCTTTGCTTCATTTTTGCCCTTCCAGAATATTTCTGTGTGACCAGAAAACATGGCAGAGGCTCTGTCCGGCTCCGGGAAGGTGACCCTTTTTAGCCAGAAGCAACGAGGGGGGCTCACCTACCGCATCCCAGCATTGATCTACCTGCCCTACGAAGCCACATTCTTGGCCTTTGCGGAGGAACGCTCCTCGCCCAGAGATGAAGATGCCAAGTTCCTGGTGATGAGGCGAGGGAAGAAGGAAGGAACAACGGTCCAGGTAACAATTGTGTTGAAATATTTAAATACAGAACAAACCCCATATCTTTGGAACTGATAAGCACGCGTACTCGTGTCTAAAATAAAAAGGTCTCTGAAGGCATCTGGAGGTCCCCCAGTGTGACTCTATGGTCTACTTCTGAAGGTCCCCAAGAGCAACTCTATCCAACTTCTGCCAGAAATATAGCGTTCAGTATTAATCGCAGTTTCACTTATCTGCAGTCACCATGGAAAAGGATCCCCCACAGATATAAGTCATACTGTAATTATAATAATTAAAAAAAACTTTTAAAAATTATTTTATTTCCTTTTTGAATCGTTTAATGCTCTTTTTGTTGTCCCGCACTGCACTCAGAACGTTTAACAGAAGCAGGATATAAATACTTTACTAAATAAATAAATACAAATAATATTCAGAGAAGGAAGTTGCTGCATTATTCCTGCTTTCCTTTGGGTTCATTACACCAGAGCTTAGGAGAGTTACTTTATTTTGGACTACAACTCCTGGAATGCTCCAGCCCATTGGTAAGGACCATTATTATTTATTATTATTATATTTATTTGTATCCCACTCTTTTCCCAAAAGTGGGACCATGCTTCCCAATCGTTGTGGGCAGTCATGCTAGGGCCCATACATTCTACACAATTATAATGTATTGTATTCCTCTTTAGAGAGCCAATGTGATATAGTGGTTTGAGTGTTGGACAAGGACTCCGGCAGACCAGGTTTGGAATCCTTGCTCAACTTTGGAAACCCTATTGAGTGATCTTGGAGAAGCCACACACTCTCAGCTGCAGAGCAAGTCTATGACAAACCTCCTTTGAGGAAATCTGGTTAGGACACCATAAGATAAGGTTATCAGATGCAGAGAGAGCTGTTGAAGTGGCATAAACAATGCTACCGTTGTGTTGCTTGAATGGGACCCTAGTCTTACACAATGGCTTACAGCAAGTGTGGGCTTTTGTCATCATGTCCTAGTTGTGGGCTTCCTAAGACATCTTCCTAATCACTGCTGTCCAGGTGAACCCTTGGGTTTTGCTTCTTAAACATAGTCTAATGATGAAGGCAATAATTACAGCTAATTATATGATCATTAATCTTCAATAGTATACAGTTGTCCCTCTGTTTTTGCAGGGGATCCATTCCTGACCCTCCCGCGAAAATGGAAAATCGCAAATATTCAAGCCCCATAGGCTTGAATGGGGATGTGCACACCATTTTATCCCCCTCCGTTTCTCACCCGCGAACAGGTGAGGGACGCAGACTTGAAGTCTGCGAAAACAGAGAGTCAACTGTATTCATACTAGCAGAAGGAGTTTTGCAAGTACAGTGGATCCTCCACATTTGTTGGGGTTAGAGGCACAGGACCCCCGTGAAAGTGGGAAAACCACAAATTAAAAAAACTTTTTTTTTTTTTAACCTGAGAGAACACCTCTCTTGGAATCTCTAGATCCATGAGGACAATTCTGTGAGTCACACTGGAGGACCTAGAAATTCCTAGAGAGAACATATTAATCAAATCCGTGAATAATCAGATCCACAAAAGTCAAAGCTGCAAATGTGGAGGGCCAACTGAATTTAAAATTGATTGATCCCCTATATTCCCACCATGCCTTCCTTTCTATTTTTCTCCATTCTTTCTCTTCTTCCCCTACCACCACTCTTTTTCGTTAGTTCTCTCCCCCACATAGACGCACACTAGACAATTCCCCATTCACATCAATTGTTTGAAGAGTTCAAAGCCCTGCAGAAGGAAGCATACTATGGAGCTGCCTATAGGCCCCATGAAAAATAGATATCCCAAGCCTGCCTCCAGTTTTGTCTTTGGTGGTGAAGGAGGATTAGGCAAGTTTGCTGCCTTGTAAGTAAAGATGATACTGCAGGCGCCGAACAGATTACCGCATTTTCCGGCGAATAAGACGACCCACGTATAAGACGACCCCCCCATTTTTCCAATCAAAATATAGAATTTTAGCACCTCTATCCCCATTATCCTTATATCTGGCGTATAAGACGACCCCCCCACTTTAGCCACAGATTTTGCACGTAAAAAAGTAGTCTTATACGCAGGAAAATAAGGTATTTAACTAAAATGCAGGAATCCATTTTTAAAACAGAATAGCCGTGATCTAAACACTCCAGATTGCCTCTTAACATGCATGTCGCGTACCAGATAGCAAGGGCTGCTGCCACACTGCAGAAATAAAGCAGTTTGACATCATTTTAACATTTCCATGGCTCAATGCTATGGAATTCTGGCACCAAAGCTTCCCAACAGGGAAGGCTAGATATCTCACAGAACTACAAATCCCAGAATTCCAAAGCAATGGAAGTTAAAGTAATGCTATGGAAGTTCAAGTCATGTCAAATGGCTTTGTTTCTGCAGTGTGGCACTAGCCTAGGTTTCACAGTCTTGGACAGAGCGAAGCAGACCGGCCAAAAATGCCAGCTTCAGGGTGGTATGGGGGGTGTCGTAAGCACGACGCACGCCCCGATGCTGCCCCAAAGCCGGCATCACACTGCCCCACTGACCACACAGCGGGCGGCGTTACAGCGTTCTGGCAGCGTGGCACAGAAACACCAAAAAGCTACCACTGTGGCGGAAAAGCCAGCTTTTTACTGGTTCAAAAAGAAGCTGGCAAATAACCGGATTGGGGCCACGGCGTGCAGTTGCTGCGGCCCCAATCTGGCGCTCAAACGGGCTGTTTTTTGGGGCTGTCTGTTTTGCCCCACAATCTCTTTTATGATCATTAGTTTATATCTGGACTTTCCCAATGAACTGATAATTACCAACAATCCCCAAATTTGGAAACTTTTATCAGCATAAAGTAGTGTCTAGTACTGGACATTTCAGCTTCCATTTTCTTCATTGTTTTGTGGCACGGCTGGGATGTATTTCAG